TTTCTTTCTTTCTTTCTTTCTTTCTTTCTTTCTTTCTTTCTTTCTTCTTTCTTTCTCTTTCTTTCTCCCTTCTCTCTCTTTCTCCCATCTTTCCCTCTTTCTCTTTCTTTCTTTGCACCCTCCCTTATGCCCCCTTTTGGGCCTAACAAGCCTCCCTGCACTTACCTGGGAGCCAGAACCAGGCACGTGGGGAGTCCAGGGAGGGGAGGGGCAGAGTGGGGTGGGGCCAGCTGGTCCTCAGAACTACCGGTTTGCCAAACCGGTTGTAAAATTAACATTCAGTTCACCCAAACCGACTGAATCCCACCCCTGGTTAAGTCATTACCTGGAAAATCCTTCATGGTACAGGGCCTTGATTATTTGCAGAATCACCTGTCTCAATTGCTTTTATCCATCCCAATACAGTCAGGCTGAGTGGGTGCACTCCAAGTCACTTCAGTTAAATGTTGTTGTTTTGTCAGGCTGAGGAAGTACCAGTCATACTTTGATAAGGTAAACCACACAGATTTCTGGCTTATAAAGAAAAATGTCTTAGATTTTTGGTACTAAAAAAATATACAATACTTTGTCTCTTTTCTTCAGTGGAAGAACGCAATTTCATAGAGATGCACAGATGGCCTTCTAGTATGTACCTGAGACAGCTTACGGAGTACAGGAACTACATTCATTCTCGGAAATGTCATTGTCTAATAATGTAAAATAAAAAATGATCTTTATTTATGAATGATTGAAAGCTTTGCTTCAGAAATCTTACAATTGAAATTTGATATTTAGCTTAAATGTTGCACTTGCTAATGAATAACTACAGTACTGTTTAAAAGCATGTGAAACATATTGTAATATATGCATTTACTAAGATGAATTTCAGTTGTATTGTTAGGTTTGATTCTATACTATTTTAAGGTTTTTAGAGGAATATGTACTAATTTGAAATATTTGTTAGCCTATTATGTATCTAGCATTCCAGGAGCTTGAAGGAGAGATTCTGCATTCATTAATCACTTTTTAAGCTATTTTTTTTTGAAGATTTTAGTAAGTTATTTATGACCTTTTAGAAATTTTATATTTTGTAAAAATACAGAGCTTGTAAAAAGAACATTCTATTTTGCAACTAAAAATGTACCTCTTCCCAATCTGCATCAAATTTCTGAAAAAAAAAAATCTCAGAAAATTATTTAAACTTTTCCCTCACTGAGGAACCTTGTATAGTAAAAGAGTCCCAGTATGGTTTTTCTAGGTATTGTAAAACAAAATTAGGTTTGAAAAATATTTTGGTGTTGTTTCCTGTATAATTGCATATATAGAAGTCTTTTCTTAAGTTTCTTTTTTGTGCAAAAATAACCCATTTATAGTATTCTGACAATAACAATTCTAAATTCTTTCCCCAGGTAGATAATAATTTAACAATTTCACATTTCACAATTTTGAAAAGAACATTATTCCTAAAAAGATATGTGTAAATTCAAGCAGTGGCCTGTGTGTGTTTGTATATATTCAGTTCATCCCTGAAAGCTGTGTTATAGTTTGTTTCCTATATTTAGTATGTGAGAGGTCAAGGGAAAAAGAATGAAATACTAAATTTACATATACTGATCATATGGATCCAGACCTTTTATGCTCTTGGGGCATAAGCACACTAATTCACTGAGTCCTTTCTATAATTCTCCTCTCATTTCACTGAAGAATTTAATAAACTCAACTAGGGGCTGTGCTGCATGTCCACTTTCCCCCGACATATTTTATCCATTAAGGCATTCTTGTCAATTTTCCCAGATAGGTCTGCACTGTATTTAGACAATGGGACTGATTGGGCCAAGTTTCTGAGGATTTCATACCTCTCATTTTTGAGTAGATGCACATTATTACTAAGATTGTAGTATTTTCTATCTTTATATGTGATTAAGTATATGTTTTACAACCCACATAGACCTGCAATGACATCCACATTGTATCCTCCATATGTACAAAAGTGGCATTAGAATGTTCCAATGGTAAATTAAAGCAACATTTGAATCAGGAACTATCTGACCACACACTTTCAGAGGCAATGCACTGCTTCACCTACATATATTATAATACTCGTATAAATAATGTTTTATATAATGTTTTGTATTGTTTCTAAAATGCCAAGTAGGATGCTACAATTAATTTATTTCTAGTAGTGGATTTTTTATTAAGGAAACTTAAAAACATTTTCAGCATTTTTGTATGACTATAAATTCCATGGAAATAGATACATTAAAATCAATTTATAATATGTTCCTTTGCTTTAATTTAAAAATGGTAATATATTTTTTATAAATCAGTACAATAACAATGAAAATCCCCATATAACAATGCCTATTTGTTAAGTAAGGAGGCACAAAGATTCTGTGTACTAAAACAACAATAAATCACGAACTGATTTGGTATTTAGTGATTTTATTTTATTTGTAAATCTAGGCATAATTTTTCAAATGATTCAAATGTTTTAAGATTATGATTTAGTATAAATGTTCCTTTTATCTGAAAGTTGAAAAGTGTATACTTATGACACACTTCATCCTCAAAATATTAACATTCCAATGCAGCAGTAGTAGACAAAGGTAAGATGACAGTATAAAGCAGAAATATTAATTTTTCTGCAACCTAGGAAAAAAATGAGTTAAGGAATGGTGTTCCAAGCCTGTATAGGGGTAGAATGGGGAGCTACATACTGTATGGAATACTTTATGTTAATGAATTCTTACATAGATAGGAATACTGTATTGTTGAACATCTTTGAATTCACCTGCAGATATGCATAACTAGTAACCTGCAAATTCTTGGGTAGCAATGGCATGTTTTGCAAAATAGCTCATAAAATGACTTTATTTATTGTATTTATAGTTTCTTTGGGATGCACATGCACTGCACTATAATCTCTTCTCAGATTATGACAGCTATCCATAGTCCTTCAGATTCATAGGATTAAGTTGTAATTTATTATATTTCTTAAACTTTTTAATGGACAATTATGTCTACTGTGAAATATAATCTGCAGCAGCTTCTACATTTCTGATAGCATTATATTTATTAATACCAAAGAATTAATAAGTAGTAATCTATAGACATCACATATTGAATGCATTCCTTTAAAATCTATTTTTATAAGAAAAGCATTTCTATTTGCACACTGTTACTGTTTTTTGATGAATAAATGTTGATATCAAGCCAGCATGGAAGTTTACAGAGATGCAACCTTAAAATTGCAGTTAAAATGTTGATTGAAAATTATCACATGAATGATTGTGGCTTCACTGCAAAAAAAAGCCCCTTTATTTTGGCATGTGTTGGGCATGTAGTAACTTTACAGGTTAACAGGTTCTTAAATTCACCATATTTAATCATGCTATTTAATTCCTTGTAATATGGCATTTTTAGTAAGTGCTTATTTCATGTGATTTAATGGTAAATAGCTGCAGTCCAAACACTTTTTAAGCTGTCTGTATTTGATTTGATCTTAGCATTTAAAGTAGAAAAATTATCACACGTTGTATATGCTTAATTGTAATATTTGATTGGCAATACAAAGCTGCAGGTTCTGACTAAGAAGATGCATGTGGTAATGTGCAGAAAAGTGAATGCAGCAGCAGACTGGAAACAGACACAGCAATCTTTCTGAGTTGGAGACGCAGGGCTTCATTTGGGCTCCCACATAATCCATAGCAGTTGTTCATAACCACAAATGAAGCACTGTACAGCCTTATATTTCCTTTTTTTAATGCCTTGAAGCCTGTGTTGATTCCTGATCATTGCCTGGGCAAGTCCCTGCAGTATTTTTCAATAAGAGTTCAGAAGCAGCTTGCCATTGCTACCTACCTTGGCCTAAGAGAGAGTGAGAGCTGTGTTTTTCTAAAAACAATAAAATTCTTTTCAGCCAATCCTGACATTGCTCTCAATTAAAATGATTTTAGGGATGTCTTTAAAGGAAGATGACAGGTGCCCTATTGCATAGACTTAATGGTAGCCTATAAAATTGCATATTTTGTGAACTGTTCTGTCCAGTGATATTAAAAGACCTCAAAACTTAATCATAAAGACAAAGTTTCATTCAATCAAACAAATACGTGGTGAAAAGGCTAACTAACCCATAAGGTGTAGAGGTAATTCTTGACTTGTGACTGGTATAATGGCAACCATTCAAAGTTCTGAAGAACAGCCCTGGGGCTATATATGACCTGGATTCAAAGTTCTGATCTCCACGTCTCTCAAGGATCATATAACTACACTTCAGCTTGCATTTATTGCATGTCCTGTAATCAGGTAATGGTTTTTCCCAAAACCAGCATTTACTTGCAATTTTCTGCAAAACCATCTCATAGAAAATCTTGGCAGGTTTCATTACAATTGTAACTGAATGAATACACCTGTACAGGAAAGGTAAATAGACCCTTTGTCACAATGTGTGTGTGTGTCTCTCTCATCCCTCCCTCTCATATCAGGGATGAAAAAGTCCAGGATTTTGTTTCACATGATGGCCAACTAGGTTCCTCTGTTGTGCTTGTAAACAGGAGATGGTGAAATTCTGCTCTTATTTTTACTTCTCCAACCACGGGTATTTGAAATTATCCTGTCTCCAGTCCAGAATAGTTAATGAATTGATCCAGGTAAATTTATCTTAGCCCCTTTGAAAGCAATACAAGTGTGGGGCCATCATCCTTGCAATAATAAATGCATAGGTTTATTACATGTTGATTGAAGAAATACTTTCTTTTGTTTATTCTCAGTCTCTTTTCAGTCAAGATCAGAAGATCCTTGGTTGGTCTTAGCATCTTGCAAGAGAAAGAAAATGTCCATGTCACTGTACCATACATTATTTTATGTACCTCAGTCATATCCTTACCCCAAGTTCTGTGCCTTTTATCCAAAATAAAAATGCTCAGACATTCTAAACTTTTATCATAGGGAAAGTATTCAGTTCTCCTGATCGTTTTGTTCCTCTTTTCCAGCACTTGTATCCTTTTTCAAATGGTGTTTGAAAATCTATGTTGTTTGTTGACTGTAACAATAAGGTAACAATAGTAACTTTTTAAGATTATAACGGTATATTCCCATGAGCAGTAAATAAATATGATATATTGGTTTATGTTTAAATCATGCATTTACTTGTAAGGAAAGAACATATCTGAGAAGAAGCTAAAAAGCATGCATAGGTTTATGTTGTTTAAAAATCAATTATTTTCTACATCAATTACATGTATCTAAAGACAACAGCTTCAAAAACGAACCTGCTATTTCAAAATAATGTTTTTTTAAAAAAATTAAGCTTCATAAATGCCTGAACTGTGACAAGAAAATATGCTTAATCAAGTAATAAAAAAACCTTTCAACAGACTCATTTGATATTCATGCTTATTTTTTCAATAGCACGTATCTCAGTAAATTGGAAACCCTACACAATTGTATGCAAAAGCAGGATCAGATTGTGTGTTTGATGAACCCCTAGGAGATCAGAAACTCACATCATCTCTATATGCACAATCATGTTGTAAATTTGAGTGTATACTTCACTGTAGTTATTGAATTCGACTTCTAAATATGTAAGGACTTGAGAAATTGTTACATAAGTAACAAATGAAATGAAGTTTGAGAAGTTTGTCTTTGTCTTCTTTTCAACTTGGTTTATATAATTTTACATTTTCTGTAACACAGAAATGTAATGCCTTTTAAAAAGCAACCCTTTAAACAAATGTATTGTGTGTACATATTTGAACATACTTTTTTTAAAAAAAGCACTAAATGGTTATTTTGCTACAGAAAATCACTTTAAATCTTCAATGCTAAAATTATTTAATTCTTTAAATTATGCTTAGTCTCCACAGCAGGAGGCAGCACTGGTTTCAGATTCTTCCATCATTCAAGGTGGTTGCTTTCCTAATAAACTTTTTATGGTTAACAAAAGTACAAAATTCTATTAAAAATAAGATTTCTTAGATATATGGATGGAAAAAAAGGCAGCCAGGATATTAAAGAATTGTGAGAACTTAAATCCAATCTCTCTGCAGTGCACTCAACTGGGAGAAGCTATAATGAGATGCCTACCTATTTTAAAATGAATGAAGACTCATCAATTCTACTGCTAAACATGCCTGGAGAACTATTTCTACCAGAACAGAGACTAATGTCTAATATTGACATCTTGCAGCTAAACCTGAATTTAAAAACAAAAAAACAAACAGAAGCTAATACTGAAGCTTAGCTCTGTTTCTTTATATTGTAAATATAAGAAAGCAGGGTGTGTGTATTTGGGGACAGGGGACGCAGAGTAATTCTTGTGCAAAAATTATTTTAAAGGTTTTCATTGTCAGTTGTTGTTTTTAACCATTTAGTTATATCTGACTCTTGGTGATTTTATAGGCAAGTGCCCCCTAGGCTACCCTATCAAGCACAGCTTCTTTTAATTGTTGAATGTTCAACTTTGTATCAAATTTGATGTTATCAAGCCAGTGTGCTTGCTTGCTTCTTCTTTGTCCACTAGCCATTCTTAGCATCACTGCTTTATCCAGTGCATGCACAACATGGCCCAAGTAAATTAGATATAGTTTTATGATTATAGCTTCCAGTGATGTGTTTGGTTTTATACAATTTAACACTTCTGTTAGTTACTCTGGCTGTCCATAATATACACAGTAATTTATGCCAGCACTGCAGTTCAAAGGTCAGTTTAAGTAGTAAGGGGCTTATCATTGCATTTAATGGTTCTTGGATTATACAGGTGAAACTCAAAAAATTAGAATATCGTGCAAAAGTTCATTCATTTCAGTAATGCAAGTTAAAAGGTGAAACTAATATATGAGATAGACTCATTACATGCAAAACAAGATAGTTCAAGCCGTGATTTGTCATAATTGTGATGGTTATGGCTTACAGCTCATGAAAACCCCAAATCCACAATCTCAGAAAATTAGATATTACATGCAATCAATAAAACAAGGATTGTACATAGAACAATATCCTACTTCTGAAAAGTATAAGCATGCATATGTACTCAGTACTTGGTTTGGGGCCCTTTTGCAGCAATTACTGCCTCAATGTGGCATGGCATGGAAGCTATCAGGCTGTGGCACTGCTGAGGTATTATGGAAGACCAGGATGCTTCAATAGCGGCCTTCAACTCTTCTGCATTGTTCGGTCTCATGTCTCTCATCTTTCTCTTGGCAATGCCCCATAGATTCTCTATGGGGTTCAGGTCAGGCAAGTTTGCTGGCCAATCAATCACAATAATCCCATGGTCACTGAACCAGGTTTTGGTGCTTTTGGCAGTGTGGGCAGGTGCCAAGTCCTGCTGGAAAATGAAGTCAGCATCCCCATAAAGCTCGTCTGCAGAAGGAAGCATGAAGTGCTCCAAGATCTCCTGGTAGACAGCACTGTTGACCCTGGACTTAATGAAGCACAGTGGACAAACACTAGCAGATGACATGGCTCCCCAAATCAACACAGACTGTGGAAACTTCACACTGGATTTCAAGCATCTTGCAGTGTGTGTCTCTCCATTCTTCCTCCAGACTCTGGGTCCTTGGTTTCCAAATGAGATACAAAAGTTTCTCTCATCAGGAAAGAGGACTTTGGACCACTGAGCAACAGACCAGTTCTGTTTTTCTTTAGCCCAGGTAAGATGCTTCGGACATTTTTTGTAGAATAGAATAGAATAGAATAGAATAGAATAGAATAGAATAGAATA